AAACTTAATATCTAGATTATTCCTCTGATATGGAAATTTCTGTTGTTTCGACACCTATTTAACAGGCTCAAATATTGCTGAATTCAAAAAAATTTAAGAGGAAAATTTCAGTAATTGATCCCAAAATTTAAAAAAAAATAGTTCAGCAATAAAAAGAAAAGCTGAAAAGCAGCGTGTTTACTCTCACCATCATACCCAATTCTTAGTTGTGGTCTTATCAAATATGATGAACGGTTAAGACTCTTAACACTTGATTTGATGGGTAAAATCCCTGCTCTAGTGATGAAAAGTCGTTAAATCAAGTTGCGATGAACTGTTGATGTAGTTTAAATCTCAAGTGAATGAGTTTATATTTGAGTTCATATCAACTATGCTAAACACTTAAGATTCTCAACACTGGATTTGATGATTTGATTTGATTTGGTAAAATCCATAATCTAATAATAAAGGATTCTAAAATAAAATTCAGAAAAATCTCAATCGAACGAGTTTATAATATTTTGCAATTGGGATTGCCCTTAAAAAATTATCTGCAAGTTGAAGATACATTCAGAGGATGAAAAACGTACTCTGCTCCGTACTCTTCCTATAATCTCTTCTAAACAATGTTTGCAAATTTTTCACGCAATCCTAAAGATTTTCTTCGGTGATTTCTAGCAGTATGTTAGATGTGGATATATAACGTAACTATGGAAGTAAAAAACCTGTAAACTTTTCACTGTAAAACTGTAAACTTTTCATAAAGTTAGAAACGTGGAGAGATTATGATTTCTATTTTTAAAAATGCATATTACATAAATGGTGGGAAAAGGCTCACACAATGACAGGTCAAAATATTAGTCTCCTAAGTCTCTGACACAGTGAAACTGAAAAGAATATAGAACTCGTTTGAAGAATGAAAATATTTTATTTCATCGTTGTTGCGCACTAGATTCGTTTTCAACCAAATTGATCAAATCATATTACTTGTTTACAAACTCGGCAAATCCCTGTTTTGTATTAAATCAAATTTAACCCATCTGATTATTGTTTACATCCAAATATAAAAACATTGCCTGCAGAGAAAAATATGAATTGAATTTGAACGTAACCTTACAACTAATGTTAGTATTGAGAAGCCGAAGGGCTCCATTGTTTTAGTAGGTATAAAAAAGATATCTTATCTTATCTAACACTGCTATTATGTTGAAAAATAAACTGAAAAATAAAAAGACAATTCCTTTCAATTGCCAATAACTTATTAACGAACTAAACTGGTAAACTGGTGTTACTTGTATTTTCTTAGATTCTTAAATTAATAGAAATAGAAATAAACAGGGCACCAGCACTCCACGGAGCAAAGCACCGCGACCATAGTTGACCTTCTTACATTAATAGAATTTAACTAATCAATAATGATTTCCACATCAAGATTGATCCCATCGAAAAACTCATAAAGGATAGAGCCCTGAAATTATTTGCGAAATCTGACAGACTTACCAACACCGCGTTATCAAATCTCAGAATGGTTACAGGCTCCTCGGGGAGGTATGCAGATCTGAGGTCAATTATTGCTTAGTCTGATAAAGTGATAAACAATAATCTAGTCAAGGCGCAAAGAGGGATTTTGAGGAAACCTCGAGTTAAAAAAGAGTATAAGTGCTTAAGTGCACTAGCTCAAAACAGCTTCAACATAACAAAGTTATTTAGATATTTAAAAGTTTTTAATATAATTTTAATAAATATTTATTTAATCTTATTAATTCTAGAAAACCATAATATTTTTTTTTCTTAAATGTTTTTATCAGACCTGCTTAAGCTTGAAACACGTGTCACTTTTATGCATTATAACTGCGCTAATTTAGTAAAGGCGTTTGATTTAAGTGCTATTCGCATAACTGGTAGAACGCCATTAACACTTTACCAAATACGGCAGGCACATAAATTGAGATGATCGTTGACTAAACGTCAAAAATGCCAAAATACTAAACTAGTGGCAATAAAATTTATGCAAGAATAAGTCATGCAATTAACTTGATTGATATATTGACGCCATGATTGAGCGACACCTACGATTATCACCAAATAATCGAGTCATTCTAAATTATAGCTAATATCGCATATTTTAAAGCTTACAGCAAATCTCTAAATAGTTTTATTTATTTATTGATTTATGGATTCTATAAACAGCAACTGCAAAAAATAGCGATGAAATCATTGACCTCTGGCGATCGCACGAAGTCGCTATTGAAAATTGATCACCTGTGGAGTGAACGCTCCAGAAACAAGTCAACATAATCGTAATTAGTTTATCTTGGCGCTGCATTGAAAACTGAATTCTCAATGCTCAGTTCTGTTATTATTCGGAAATTTGCAGTGTTTATCTATAAATTGCAAATAAATTGGCAAAATAAATTATCAAGAATAATAAAATATTATCAAAATAAAAAATTCCATCAAACGATTTTATATAAAACTTGATCACATAAGATTATGTATGCAATTTGTAAAAATTTGAGATTTAGAACAGGGTCAGCTTATGAGCTTCTAATACTGGCACAGGGTTAAGTAATTGAGAACAATGTTGCAATTTTTAAAAACAAAATTTATTTTATTCGAATAAACTATTTTGTTTGTGATATATAATATATCTGTACAACAATAACAACTGAAATGGTTTTTAAATAAATATATATTCATTTATTTGTATAATTATTAGATAGAGAACCTGTCAAATTAAAAGCAATGACTTTGCATCTTTTAATCAAACGTCACAAAGCTACACATAACTTTTATTTCAATTTATTCTATTTTATTTATTATTTATAAATTTTTTTCTTACTTCTTTCTGATTTTATAGATACCATAATGTTCTAGTTCTATATTCCTTGTTGAGATTTTTTCACAGTTAGTAAAGAATGAGTATTGAAAATCCATAAAATCACTTACTAAAATAATTAGGTTAGAATTAAACAACAATACATTACCAAAATAATTTATTTAATTACAAAACCGAAAATACATAAAAAGTTAATTATATAAATTGATATTAATTATCACTCTTCCTTGTTATTTTTTGTTCTTCAATTACAAATGTAATAATAGATATAAAACTAATAAATATCACTACCATATTAATTTAACTTGAGATAAATATCTGAAAATTGAAGTAAATAACTTTTTCATAGAATTCTATACTCTTTTAAATGCTTCAACAACAAACAAATGCTACTTAACCTTTGATTTCTAAGCCTCTGTTTATATCAAACAAAAGTACACGTAATCTCTCAAGCCATGAAACTGTTTTCTCGATCTATATGGAAGAGAAAAATCATTTCTATTTTAGGTGAAAGCTAAGTTCCCCTTTAAGCACTATTTAATTCAATTACATTATTAATACCATTACTAATATAGGTTAAACTATATTATACGTAACTATATGAGTTACTAATCCTAATACAAATATAGGTTAAACTATATATGAATATCAAAAAATACTTCTACTTAACAGTTCTATAAATTACAGACTTTTGTAACATATCAGGAACAAAATAGCGAACGAACTCATTAGTGACGAACTCATAAGTGACTCAAGACTTTGTAGATCGCAATATTTCCTCCTCATGCCTATATCTGTTGTAAGATCAATTTTTAAAAGTTGACTTCAATCTGAATCAAACAATAAATAGAAAAATCACAATGTTGAAGGTACAATAAATTGGTCTTACTTGAAATCAGCTATAGGTGTCTTGTAACTTTATGCCTTCTCACATTTATATGTTAGTACTAACCATACCGCTTGCTTCTTTTGCATCTTAGCGTTATTAATAGCAGCATATATCCACCTTAACCTAAGGACGCTTACAGAACAAATGTTTTCAAAATCTTGGAAAGGAATTCACAGTACAATGAAATTTAACTGTCTAAATGGTGTGATATTTTCAGTAAATTATTCCTCAAAAGTAATTTATGTAAGTCAAAGTCACACACAGCTTCTTTTAATGGTTTTCAACCTCAAAATGAAATGATTCAATTTTAGTGTATAACATTAATGTGCCACATTGCAGCACTTTTTCCTTAAATCTTATTATATTAACTTACAAATTTGGGAAATAAAAGCTGTCTAAGAAAATATAAAACATTAATATCGTTTAAGCTACATGTATCTGTATTAAAAATATTTTCCGTATCTGCAATTTTAGTATAGTAACTCAGATTTAGTACATTTTGTTTCTAATTTTATTTCATTAGTTGATATTGTTGATACTGAGTCACATATTACCGATATAGTTGGCAATAAGATAATAAAACTGATAAGTAATAATCAATTCTGAAAATGTACAAGTTATTATTGTAAGACCATTGCATCGGTTGTATGGCTCTATAGTGTGGCTTGTTTTGAAAAATATACTACACTGGTGCTACAAGATACGCAGAATTTTTTGGTATTGCATCTGAAATTTATCGATTATTTAATTTATCGTTTTGGTTAAGTGAATTGAACTCCAAGTTAATGCGATTTGTGATTACTGAACTTTTTTTGTGAGGGACAATCTTCAAAGTCTTGCCATTGAAAACGAACATATGTCAGTTTATATCTCTCGGCTAATATTTAAATGATGTTATATTTCGCTTTTAAAGGCAAGCTTCAATGAATATATTGACTTTGAATATACAACATTTCAATAACTAATGTGTCTTACTTATGTTTGCACAAGACAGCTAACCCTGTATATGTATATTCTAATACATTCTTCACAATATAATAAAATGAGATATGTTTACAATTGAGATGAAGGGCACAAAAAATCATATTCCGTCATGACAGAAGGATTACTATAATTTTATTTTTAATTAAATTTATTTATTGTATATGACAAATTATAAAATCAACTTAAGCTATTAACATCAAATTTTTATCAAATCAAACAAAATACTTAATATAAGTTGTATTAGCGTTCTCAGTGTTTTGAGAGCCAAACAAACATTGCTTGCCAGTGGTTGGAGGTACAACGCATTGTCTAAGTTATTTCTTATCTTTAGTATGAATTGTGTTTTTACTTTCAATTGAACTGCAATTGACCCAAAATTTTGAGGAAATTAGACTAAAATGTTAACAGTTGATATTGAATTCAAATCCGATAATGAGTGGTCTTTAGTAAAGAATACTGAAAAAAAGTCCGAAGCTTTAATACGCCGCAAAATCAAACGGAAACGGAAAATTTTTCAATATATTATATTATTCGGAATACTTGTAATTTCGATGATTGGAGTTTGTGCATTGTTAAATGTTTTAAACTCAACCGCAGAAAATCCACAATTATTTGGTAGGACAAAGCATGTTCTGTTATGGAAGAGCAAACATATGTTTGGAGAAATGGCCTCACAGTCTGGTGATACCTATATCTGTGAAAGAAGCAAATGCATAATTGAATTTAGTTATGAAGATAACATTGACTTGAATAAATTTGATGCTATTGTTATTGATGGTCTTGGTAAAGATTATGCCATTGTACCTCATCGTTACTCACATCAACTGTATGTGGGTGCATTTCCACCAAATTTCGATCCAATTGAATTTACAAATATCTCTTATGATATATTAATGTCTTATAAATTAAATTCTGATATAGTTTGGACATATTATGAAATTACAACTATAAACTCAAGTTCAACTTTTGTAACATCCACGTTACAACGAAATTGGGACAACGCAGTAACTGTCAATGAAAGTGATATAGAAAAACTGAAAATCTTTGCTCAAAATAAAAATAAACTGATCTTTACTTTCCCAACAAACAGCTGGAGTAACTATTATAAGTATTTGATTGAACAATTTAATAATTCTATTTCAATTGATATGTAAGTAAAAGAAATATAAATATATTTACTAATAATAACCTGAACTTTATATATCATTAGCTGTACAAATTGTGATTTTCAATACTTATCCTTAGTATATAAATTCATACTGATCTCACCAGAAGTTAACTGTGAAGACAATGTGCCGAATATATTTTACCTAGCACTCAAGAATCGAATTGTCCCCATTGTATATGGCAAAGTGGATTTTAAGCGTTTTGCTCCCCCTAGGCACTTCATAAAAGCGGATGAATTTTCGACTGTGAAAGAATTTGCTAACTTTTTAAAATATTTGGACAAAACACCAGATGCTTATTTGCAGTACCTAACATTTTCATATCAATATACAATTAAGGCAAATTTTTTGCCAATGTGTAAAATATGTAATTTTCTAAAAAATACAGATTTTGAGTATTATCAAAATAGAAATGTATCAACCCTTTTTAGAAGTGATTGCTAATTTAATATATATAATATAAAATTAAAAGCAATCAGAAATTGCGTCAATCATAATCTTAAATAAAAGTTTAAATAAATTTAAAATGTTTGATCAAAAAAAAAAAACTGATATTTAATACCCCTCACACTCTTGTGTGAATATCTGCTTGAGGTTTGTTCAAATGTTTATAACACATTAAAGGCAAAATCAGAGACGACACCCCATATATTTACCCCCCAGATAGAAAATTTCACTGTAATGAGAGAATTTTATATTTTATCAATTTTCTCTTGTTTTACACATATATATTTTTTTCATAGTTCTGGTCAACATGTTATATGCTAAAACAAGGATTCATATAAATTCTCCAACTTACTATATCTGTAATCGCATCATTCTTCGAAAACGTAACCCTAAAACTTTTTTCCATTATCCAAACTAAGCACGTCATTTAATTTCTAAAGTTAATTTAAAATAGAGTTGTAAAGATAGAGCAAGCGCAAGTTCATGTCTGAAAGGGTGTTCGAACTGTTTTTTAAACAGTTGTGGCATATCTGCTTAAGATGGTGTGATCGGAGATGATGTGTGAACATAAACTTTTATAAACATTTAAATATTTTCTAAAAGAAATATATTCTGGTAACTAATTAAAAAGTATCTCATATATGCGTATCTTTAATTATGAATAAATACTGATATACATTCACTAACTTTGATCTGACTTAATGGATAATTAATTCTGCTTTTAAAGAACCATTTATATTATGCAAAATAAAAAATGTTTTAATTCTACATAACATACAGTAAGGTAGGGTGAAAAAAAGTCGTTCAGCTATGATTATTACTCATTCATTGATAAAACGAATGATTGCAAAAATTATATATTTCGTTAAATTTACTAATTTATGTGAGCGCAACAAACCTCACCGATTATCATTAAACTCTATCTTATCAAGAAAAAAAATTATAAACAAATAATACTGGCGCTCTGCATGTTCTGGTGCGCAAAACCAAAACTAATTGCCAGTGTTTGGACGTGCTACTTTAACACTCGGGGAACTACTTATCTCTGATATAAAAAAAAAATTGTAATTTCGAAATTTAGTGTAATTTGAAGAAAAAAACTTTAATTTTATGATTTAAATAAAAATCAAAAAAAATGTTTGACGCGGATATAGAATCTAACGACGAATCTGATAATGAAAAGCCTCTAGTAAGGAAAAATCGAAAAAAACAGAAAGTGCTTAAACGCCGAATAAACAATAGAAAACGGCGATTTTTACAATGTATTGGAATATGTGGAATTCTAGTGCTTTTGATACTCGGAATATGCGTATTAGTAAACATTTTTAATACAAATGTTGAAATACCATATTTCCACAGTAGTGCCAAACGTATTCTGCTGTGGAAGAGCTACTCATGGCTTCCAGAACTGATACCGACGCTTTCTGGTGAAGTATTTTCATGTGAATCAACTAAATGCATTCTTGAATTTAGCAATGAAACTTATATTGATCCGAATAAATTTGATGCAGTTGTCATTGACGCTTTACGAGCTAAAGATTACCGCTTAATATCAAATCGTAACTCACGTTCACTTTTTGTGGGTGCATTCAGGAATCCTCCTAAAAATGTTGCTTTGAACTATTCCGCAAATATGTTTAATGGTTATTTTGATGTATTAATGTCATATAGACTCAATTCTGATATAGTTTGGACACACTACGAAGTCAGAGATTTGAATAATGTTCATAAAGCGCCAACGTTACATCCAAACTGGAACGATGCTGCTCCAATGCATCAAGATGATATATACAGTTTGAAAATATTTGCTGAAAATAAATTTAAATTAGTCACCAGTTTTCCGACAAGCAACACAGATAGTGAATTTCAGAACTTAGTCAACCAACTCAATACGGTCATTACAATAGATGTGTAAGTAAAATCTATCTAAATATTTCTATTTAATAATGTCTGTATTATTTTTCATTAGTTGCGCAAATTGTGATTTAAGACAATTAACCATATTGTATAAATTCATACTCATCTCAGCAGAAGCTATTTGCGCAGATTATGTGCCAAAAATATTTTACGAAGCTCTTAAGCACAGAATAGTCCCCGTTATATATGGCAATGTAGATTTTAGCCGTTTTGCCCCTCCTACAAACTTTATAAGAGCTGACGAATTTTCAAATGCGGAGCAATTAGGAAATTTTTTGAAATATTTGGACAAAACACCTGATGCTTATTTACGGTACCTGACATTTACATATCAATATGATATTGTTTTATCGCCACTACCTATATGTAATTTATGTAATTTATTAGAAAATGATAATCTTATGTATTACCAGCGAACGAATGTATCGAGACTATTGGGCGATGATTGTGTGTTCTAATATACTAAGTTTTTAGAGTAAGTAAAACTTATGTCTAAATATTAAATAAATAAATTTTTTTATCAAAAATGTAGTAGTCTTTTTATGACAATTTTTATATTCTTACCGTCATAGTATAATATTTTCATTGGTATTTCTGTTTATTAATTTTAAGCCGATAATAACACCGTTCTTCGTAATCCATTATAAGTTAAGGATAAATACGTGCACTTTCAACACAAGGCACATTTTCACCCCAAAATAAAATCTATATAATAAAAAGTTTTTGAACCATCACCAATAATATCTTGGGTTTATGAATTTTAATGCAGGTTGAAAATAATGTATATTCCTTTATTATGAATATATTTTAAATTGAAAATAACCAAGAATATCAATTGTCTTCTATAAAGACGGCATTGCTGCAAGAAGAATTCAAACAGATCCGCGATCATAGTTTAAAAGGCCTTGGAAATCATTATGAATTTTAAGAATTCATAATACACGGCACTATTTTCTTAAACAGAAGTATAACGTTCATTGTATTATGTAGTGAACAGAGTGTTATAATAAAGTTTAATTATTCTATTAAAAATAATAGACTAAGTAAATCGTAAGCCTACAACAATTCTGATTTGACTTTAACCAAAACAAGTTCTGATTTGATTTGAACCAAAACAAGTAAAACAATCAAATGGTGAAAAAAAAATTCACAGAGAAATTTTCAGAGCAATGACTACTCTAACATGGGCCTCGTTAAAAATATGGATTTGGTCATTTCAAAATAAAAACCCATTAAACAAATCTTATTTAACCTATAGGAACAATTGAACCCAATTATTTTTGAAAAGAGGTCGTATAATTTACAAGCTAATTGTATTTTAAATGTTAACATTACTCTCTGTTTCTATGAAAAAATGTGAAATCATAGAGAAAACATTACTCTATGAGGCAGAGGTTCTTCAGAGGATTTCTACAGAAAGTGGTTTCACTTATCTGCTACTCTTCAATACGTACAATACGCGCTCAGTCTGTCTAAATTAGTAGACAGAACAAGTTCACTAAATTGAAATTGTTTTTTTTTAAGTATTTTTTTAATTTTAATTAATTTTATTTATAAAAAAGTACTTTATATGAATATAATCTTTAATAAGTAACTGTAAATTACAAAAGTGATTACTATCAAAATATTAAAGTAGTTCTTATTAAATTTCGAGCCAACATATTATGCATCAGTTTCTACCGACAATTCTTCACTACTATTAAATCTTTGGTATTAAGATAGTCTTCTCTCCAAACGATTATTTTATTGAATGCGGTTAACGCTTCTGTTGAGCTAATAGTTGACGTGTTTCGTTGTTCACTAGCACTTTCGTCTTCATCATCATTATCAGCTTAATCATTCTCAATATCTAGTTCTACACTCTCTACATCATCTAATCTCATAATTTCCTCAGCCATATATGTGCAGTCATTGCATAGTTCAGCAAATAAAGTGTTAACTTCTTCTATGGGTGATGCTATATCAGTAAATTGTTGCTGCCGTTATATACTCAATGGAATATCATCTTCAATATTGAACTTTTGTTCATTACTTAGTAACTTATCGCCTTCAATATTTAGAAAGTTTGTTCCAAAACTGCGTTTGAAATTCTGTACCCAATTCTTTTCTTTAAAAATGTTATTTATCTCTTTTGCTCTTGCTATTGAAAGCAACACGACAGACTAAAAGACTTCTACTTCGTTGTACACAGAACCATTCATATAACTTTGCCTCGACTTTAGCCATCTCTCCGAGTTTCACAGTTTTCCTTTTCCTTTTAGAAGCATCCACTTAATTATCTGTGGCATCTAAAATCTTTTTTTTATTTTTTTTTTTTATCGCATAAACTGAAGGTTTTGATATGCAATATTTTTTTTGAAATCGGTGTAACCGATGATCCACTTTCTAACCTCCACTAAATTTTCGCGGCACTGTGATGTCGACTGATAAGCACAGAAAACAAAAAGTAAGTAAAAGTAAGTACATATTTTTGATTTTTGCATTTTTAGAAAAAAGCCTATGCAATATATTATAACCGAGCGTTTACTGTACCTTTATTTTGCCCCAGGAGGCCTAGAAAAGGAAACAGATATTACGAAACGAAATTTTGGAACTGATAGAAACATTATTAGAACCAGCACTTAGTGAACTGTTTAATTCAATACTATGTAATTGTACTAAATAATTGAGTTCTACTTGTCAATGTGGAATATTAAGGTTGAAATGGTACTCATTTTAAAAAAGTGTTAACAGTTCTTCTAGAAAACTTGACTTGATAAAAAAGTATATATGTTCCTGAAATCCTCAAAGAGCACAAAATATCTAACAGCGAGGTTGAAGATAATGTATTGCAATATCAAGTTAATTGGTTAGAGGAGCAAGAAGGAAGAGGTTATTTATCTATGTATTTCTTATTAAGTATAGAACTTACAAAAAATGTCGTCGTTAAATTTAAAACTGAATTGTAATATATTAACAAACAACTACGTATTGCCTACAAATATATTATATTAATATTTTTAAACATAATATAAGAAAAAATAAAATTTTTGTTGTTGTATTTCACTACTGTTCGAAAAAACCTCTTTAGAAAAAATAATTATAATAAATATAACATAATTTGTAAAATAAAATATTAAGTTAATTAATATATTAACTTAAATTATTTATTGAACTAATAATTATAACTTATTAACTTCCAAAATTATACTTTTTATTGTTTTTTATATTAAAGTTAGTGTTATCACATTTACCGCAAAATATCTTCACTCTTCACTAACTCAATCTCAAGAGCGGTTAGTCGTATAAAAGATTGCGTTAGATTAAATTTATAGAGAATTTTACACTCTAAAAAATCAATCGACACAAAAAAAACGAACGACTTTTCATGACTTTAGACTTGGTCTTGCATGACATAGTGAATATTTTGTCTTGCATACAAGCCAAAAGAAAGATTTGATCTGATTAAATCGATTATTGATTCTGTTTATTTAAGAACAAGTTGTGATATTTAAAATAAAAGTAGTTTTAATTCTACATACACCTAGGTAGGGTATAAAAAAGTCGTTCAGCTATGATTATTACTCAAATCGAATGATTGCAAAAATTATATATTTCGTTAAATTTAATAATTTATGTGAGCGCAACAAACCTCACCGATTATCATTAAACTCTATCTTATCAAGAAAAAGCATTATAAACAAATAGTACTGGCGCTCTGCATGTTCTGGCACGCAAAACCAAAACTCCTCGGCACTGTTTGGACGTACTACTTTAACGTTCCGAGAGTCACTAACCTTTGATATGGAAAAATTATTATTTCGAAATTAAGTGTAATTTGAAGAAAAAAAAACTTTAATTTTATGATTTAAATAAAGATCAAAATAAAATGTTTGACGCGGATGTAGAATCTAACGACGAATCTGATAATGTAAAACCTCTAGTAAGAAAAAATCGAAAAAAACAGAAAGTGCTTAAACGCCGAATAAACAATAGAAAACGGCGATTTTTACAATGTATCGGAATATGTGGAATTCTAGTGCTTTTGATACTCGGAATATTCATACTTATAAATGTTGAAATACCATATTTCCACAGTAGTGCCAAACGTATTCTGCTGTGGAAGAGCTACTCATGGCTTCCAGAACTGATACCGACGCAATCTGGTGAAATATTTTTATGTGAATCAACTAAATGCATACTTGAATTTAGCAACGAAACTTATATTGATCCGAATAAATTTGATGCAGTTGTCATTGACGCATTACGAGCTAAAGATTACGGCTTAATATCAAATCGTAACTCACGTCCACTTTATGTGGGTGGATTGAGGAATCCTCCTAGAAATTTTTGTTTGAACTATTCCGCAAATATGTTTAATGGTTATTTTGATACACTTATGTCATATAAACTCAATTCTGATATAGTTTGGCCACACTATGAAATTAGAGATTTGAATAATGTTTATAAAGCACCAAGGTTTCATCCACACTGGAACGATGCTGCTCCAATGCATCAAGAGGATATACACAGTTTGAAAATATTTGCTGCAAATAAATCTAAATTGGTCACCAGTTTTCCGACAAGCAACACAGATAGTGAATTTCAGAACATAGTCAACCAACTCAATACTGTCATTACAATAGATGTGTAAGTAAAATCTATCTAAATATTTCTATTTAATAATGTCTGTATTATTTTTCATTAGTTGCGCAAATTGTGATTTAAGACAATTAACCATATTGTATAAATTCATACTCATCTCAGCAGAAGCTAATTGTAGAGATCACGTGCCAAATATGTTCTACGAAGCTCTCAAGAATCGAATTGTTCCCATTGTGTATGGTAAAGTAGATTATAACCATTTTGCTCCCTATACAAACTTTGTAAGAGCTGACGAATTTTCAAATGTGGAAGAATTTGGAAATTTTTTAAAGTATTTGGACAAAACACCTGATGCTTATTTACGGTACCTGACATTTACATATCAATATGATATTGTTTTAACGCCACCACCTATATGTAAATTGTGTAAGTTTTTAGAAAAAGAAAATCTTATGTATTACCAGCTAAGGAATGTGTCAAGACTATTCCGTGATGACTGTCTATATTAATGTAGCAAGATTAGAATAAATAAAACTTATGCCTAAATTTAAAAAAAAAATTTTTATCAAAAATGTGGCTGTCTTTTTCTATGATCAGTACTAAATTCTTAATATAAAATTATAATATTTTTATTTATATATCTGGTTACAAAGACAAAGACCGATAATAACACCGTTCTTCGTAATCCATTATAAGGATGGAATTTGCATTTATATTTTGATATGAAAATCAAATAATATTTCTTATAATATTTGTGACAACAACTCCTAAATGTTTATTGAACTTCATTTTAACGTCAGTGACTTTTTCTCTTAATAGAAACTGTTGTATTTAAGTAAGAGGCTTCAAGCAGTAGTCAAAAATGTCTGCATAAAAGAATAGAATTGAAATTCAACAATTAAAAAAAAACTGCAATTATTTAATTCAATTATTCTACACCTGGTTCATGATTTCGTTCTAATATAAATCAGTAAATGAATTTGTTAATCAACTTTCACAGCAAATTACAAAACTTCAATTCCGCACATACAATGCAAGTACACTTGTGGGTCAGTTGAGTAATGAACACTGACTCTGAGCTTTAAAATTGGTAGGGTACGAGTTCAATCCTTAGCAGTTGCAGTTTCAAAAAATTATTTTAGAATAATTAATTATAAGAAACATTTCCAAGACCACTAATGATGGGTATAAGGTAATACTCGAAACTGCCAAAAATTCAATTAATTAAAAATAATAACATTTGTTGTTACAATCTCACAATGTGCGGAACTTCTTCTTTTAAAGGTTAGGAAATCATATGGTACTGAGAATTTAGTATGTTATTAACTTAAAATTTTATATTAATTGTTCTTCGTATTAGAGAGTGAGTATTTATAAGAAAAATCCAATCCAAAAATTTAATTTCTATTCAAGTGATTTCTAATGTCTATTATATGAGGTATTCTGTTGGTTTAATTGTTTGTATGCTATAGTATATGATAGACTAAAAGTGTGGAAATTTAATTCTATTAAATTAAAAAGTGAATTTGTACATTTCTTTTGCATTATTAGTCATATACAGCTTTTGAATAAGCAGTTTTTCGAGCCGTTGATTGTCAGGGCTAAAGTAGACTTAATTTACTTAACCATATATTTAATCTTCAATTTATAATTTTGTGAATCGAAAATTTTGGGACTTGAAACATATTAAATATGATCCGTAAAGTCATGCTTTAACTTAGAAACCTAAAGTACATACAATTTGCATTATAGACTTCTAACTATAATATATAACTATAACTATACTATATAAGATTTAAAATTAAAAGCAACCCAAACTTAGTAACTACCCCGGTACAAAAATTTATTTTCTATAGTATGCACACAAATGTCTAATACCGGCGCTACAAAATAAGCTTATACTGAAATACATTATAAAAATAAAAAAAAAATAGTGTATTATATAATATATATTTTGTTTTTTTTTGTTTTCGAACAATAACGCTTACAATGTGAAGCACCGTTTTGATCCTGTTTGTGGCAACTGTGATCTGCAATCAATGGACGGTGGGTAAGGAATGCATTGTGATGTACGAGTTCACTTTGCAGTTAAAAGGAATGAGAATGAAAGTCGGCATTAGATGAATTTCAACTGTTTGACCGGTCGTCATTCGTGTGGAACAGCACATGCTATTGGCAACTATTGAAATTCTTGACCAACTCTGCCGCGTGTTCCTTTTCGATTTATTGTTAAGTTTTTTGTTGAAATTATAATTACCAACTTCAACTTCAACTTCAGTTGGCGAAATCATGTTGATGTTGTGCTCATTTTTTAGTTTCTCAGGAATTTTGTCGGCAATTGGTTACTGCACAAAAGCAGACGCCAAAACACGAATTAGTACATAACTCCTTTCACCCTCCATCCAAACATTTATTCCCAGCTAAGCTGTTTTGTATGTTAAAAGTTCAATTTTAAGGTGATTTTTTGAAAATAAAAATAAAATAAAAATATGGTAAATGCGGTAAAATGATAAGTTATGTATAACATTTATTTATAATTTACTATAAATTAAAGAAAGAAAAAAACAAATAATAACCTACAAACTTTTTTCTTTGTAAATGGAATTGCTTTTCTTTAATACCTATTTTGTCTAACAAAAGATATTCATATGAAAGAGAAAATTATATAAATAATAAATAATTTTAATAACAATAAATGCAAACAATTCTATTTACTTATTTATAGTTATTTGTTTAATAGTTGGAGTCAAAACCCCAAAATCATGAGAAACTTTTTGGTATCTTCTTTATATTCTCTTTAACTCCAAAGGAAAAACATGTATCATGTCAACAAAGCTCCACTGAAGTATCTATCAGATACTTCATTATCGCATCGGTTTGCCTATTTTAACTTCATAAATTTTTTTATTTTTTTGTCTTCGTTTTTCTTATTTTTTTTTTTTTTGTACTTCAGCATGTTATGTTCTGTTATTGTGTAACGAACTATTTAACTTATTTTTATGTGATTGTTAATAAAATGAAAGCAAACATCATAAACGTCAACAACAAAGCGGTACAGCAGAAAACTTATGAAGTCTTTAAAATTTTCCCATGACAATTTTGTTTATTTTATTCATTTTTTTTATATATGTATATATATATATATTTAGTTATTGTTTTTGTTGTTTTTTTTGTTGTTGGACTGCTTGCGTCTACCGTTTTCAGGGTTTGCGTCGTTCGATATGGTCGGTCTGGCCTAGCTGAGCCTATACGGGTGTATCTGCGCACAGTTTCAGTTTCAGTTTTGTCTGCTTGGTGCTCGCTGCTCGGTGGTAGGTGCTTGGTGTTACCTTTTGCAGTTGCCTCCAAGTACGTAAGAAGCGTATAAGTGTGTGAGTGTTCTGGGATCCAGATTACATTGCACTTGTTAATATTATCACTTCTTTAATATTGTTTACATATGCAAACAAATGCTCTGAGTGTGGCAGGAGTTTTCCCAGTGTAGACTCAAGTATTAATACGTGCAAACAAATTCTATTCTGTTGGAATTTGTTTACACACTGAAGTTCTAGGAAATATAAATTTTACAAAAATAAAAAAAAAAACATTAAAATAGCTGATGTTCTCGTTTATCTGTTACGAGTTGAGCTGATTAAATATCTATTGATATCATCATAATATTTCTCTGGTTTAAAAAATGCAAGTAACTTGCAAACTACATTTTCTGTGAGAATAAATTTACAAATAATTAAATGAAAAAAATAATTCCAAGACCACTGATGATGATTAATACCCATTGATATCATCAAAATATTTCTTTGGTTTATAAAATGCAAATTCTTTGCAAATAACATTATCTATGAAAATAAAAAATACGAATAATTCAACATAGAAAAAAGTTCCAAAACCACTGATGATGGCCAAACTCGAAATAGCTATATAGACAGCCAAAAATTCATTTAATTAAAAAATAATATAAATTTTTGTTGTTGTAATTCACTACTTTTCAATAAAAATCGCTCAATAGTTTATGTACAGAATGTAGTTTCTTTCGTCAAAATAGATGTTAAAAATTAATTTAATGATACATGAGTGAAACATGTTTTTCACTTCCATAAGTTATCGAGTGCAATATCAGTTATTAATCATAAATAAATCGATAATAATTCTATATTAAGTTGATAATATATAGATAATTATTAATATAATTTATTTTCACTGCAGCTTTGTTAAAAAAAACCGTAAGTATAACTCAGATGTCCATTATTTTTTTATTAAATATACAGTAATCTCCCTATAACGTGGTACCTTTATAACACGTTTTCAAATTAAGCGATTTTATCTCCGCATAAAACAGGCATTCCCTTATATAACGCGGGGATTTGTACAGTTCATAATTAGCTTCACGTACCTTTGCACGTGTGTATACAAAGTATACGGGAATACCCCTATAACGCATTTTCCTATAACACGAAACCAATCTACCGCATTATAGGAGGGATTACTGTATATTTATTTTAATTGCATTATCCATTGTAATATCAATAAAACTTGACTAGATATGAATGTTAAATTTGGAAGCCTTTTTTAGAGTTAAAAAACTCTAAAATTTGATCATCTCCCACTCCCACTCTTAAACCAAGAAGTAATGCTACATATAACCTGCCTTTAAAAACTTATAGGTAGTACAAAAAAACAGGTCTTTCATACGTACTACCACAACCATATTGCAGTATGTTTCCTTCCTATACTTCTATTATATTAATTAACTAGAAAAATAATAACCTCATCTTTCCTCTATATTTGATCTGATGTATATAAAAGAAGTATATAAATACTCGAAGACATCAATTTCGTAAAGGGATGGTATATTAATTATTATTATATTAATTTCTCATATAATAAATATAATTGTGATATTAATTTCAGAATGAATATACGGATATACATCTATATATATATATATAGGTACTAATAAATGAATTAAACTAAGTTCCATAAGCTCATATTTTACATGTGGAAATTATATGATTAAAACTCCCTCTTTTATAATGTAATTGACTTAAATACTACAATAATCAGTTTCAAATAAAGTAGAATAAAAGCTATTGTTCTCATAACCTTTGTTGGTCTCTTATCATACTGTATCTTTTTTCAGTAATGATTTTCTCGCTGCTAATGTTAGCGGTTTCTCTTACTTAAGTTTTAGTTATCATTATTTTATTTATAAAACGACGCAAATCTTCTAAATATTAACAAAAATTTTACAACTACTTTGCACTTTTTATTTTGAAAATCATTTAAAGTAGCACAAATATGCAACTTTCAAGCAGTTTTTAATATATGTTTCCAATTATTAAGCTATATTAACTGCATTTCCTTCTAGATAATTTTGAAAACAAATTGAAGTTCAATTTGAGGTTTTTAATATTTTAAAATAAAAGAATGTGAAGATCCACCTCCTCCGTAATTAAAGCGTCTGAATTATTTAACCTATAAATATTGCAATATTAATGAAACGTACCAGATAAAATAAGTTAAAGAATTATTTCTTAAAAGA